AGACGGAATTCTGCATGAGTCCCTGGAGGGAAGAACAGTCCAGGTTGCAATTCCACATCACAGTTTGTTAGGCTAGAAGGTGCAGACACTAAGGTCTGGGCCACCATGCCCAGCCAAGAGTCATGGCGTACACAGCCATCCAAGGCAGGGTCCAGCTAGAGGAGTGGGAGGAAAGAAGAAAGGAAGGAAGAAGGATAGAATGTCAGAATCAGAACATCTGAGCCCTAGCTCCAGTATACTGTCCTTTGAGATACAATTATTTGACTTCTTTCAGGCAACTCCCATCCTTCTCTCTAAAATCTGGATTTAGATCCCCCCAGCTTGGTCTCAATTCCTGCACCAGTGGTATAGTTACCGGCAACCGGAGCTTGGACGTGGGGAAGAGCAGCCCCCCCAAAGCAATCCTCATGATGGGCTGAGGTTTGTTGGTCAGGGGCCCAGAGACTTGTCGCAGGCTCAGCTTCTCCTCCCCATCCACCCACAGCAGCAGTGAGTCCCCATCGATCTTCACTTCCACCTGTAGGAGGTGAGAAGCAGAAAGATCAGACTCCTCAGCCCAGTCCTGGAATTCAGCCTACTATGCAAGAAGAACATGCACTTTAAGACATAGCTAGCATCCTTGGTTCACTTAGGCTTTATCACACATATACAGACTGAGCCTCAGGATATCCATCTGAAACACAAAAACAAGGGCTGGGAATATGGCTTAGTGGTAGAGTGCTTGCTTTGCATGCATGAAGTCCTGGGTTCGATTCCTCAGTACCACATACACAGAAAAAGCCAGAAGTGGCACTGTGCCTCAAGTAGTGGAGTGCTAGCCTTGAGCAAAAGAAGCTCATGAACAGTGTCCAGGCCCTGAGTTCAAGCCCCAGGATTGGCACACACACACACACACACAAAACAACAACCAGAAAACAGGGCTAAGAATAGTTGCATAAGCCAGGCACTGTTGGTTCATGCCTGTAATCCTAGCTACTCAGTAGACTGAGATCTGAGGGTTGTGGTTCAAAGCCAGCCCAGGCAGAAAAGTCTGTGAGACTCTTATCTCCAATTAACTACCAGAAAACTGGAAGTGGTGCTGTGGCTCAGTGGTAGAGTGCTGATCTTGAGCAAAAAAGCTCAGGGACGGTGCCCAGACCCTGAGTTCAAGCCGCATGACTGATCAAGAAAAAAAAAAAAAAAAAGAATGGCTGTATAATCTGATAATATAACATAATATTTATCAAAATGAACTCCAGGAAATGTAAACAAGAGATTTTTTTTCTTTGTTGAAAACAACACAACCCTAATACTAAAAACAACAAAACACTAATAGCTGCATATCTGGCTGCTGGTTGCTCACACCTGTAATCCTAGCTACTCAGAAGGCTGAGACCTGAACATTGCAGTTCAAAGCCAGCTTGGGCAGGAAAGTCTTATCTCCAAATAACCACCAAAGAGCCAGAAGTAGAACTGTGGCTGAGGTTGTAGAACACTTAAGGGACCGTGTCCAGGCTCTGCATTCAATCCCTAGTACCAGTGGAAAAGAAAGAAAAAAAAAAGCTAGCTCATGGAGGTTTTATATCAATGAGATGAGATGACAATGGTAAAGGGAAGGCCCACAATGTGTTCTCCTTCTTCAGCTGGAGATGCCCTCACCTTATGGGAACAAAGCTCACTTACCTGGTGCCATCTCCCATCATTCAGCTGAAGTCCAATCCCTACTGTCAGCTGGGCCCAGAGATTGTGGAGCTGGATTTCAGGCCTGCCATCCCGAAGCCCTAGCATGAACCAGTCATTCTCACTGTTGGTGTCCCCATAAAAAATCACTCCTTCTGGATCCCATGTTCGAAACTCAAAGGAAGAGGAAGGTCTGGAAGGATATAGAGGAAAGAAAGACTATAGATAGGGTGTAGTATGAGGGCTAAAAGTGGTAGTGCTCAGGGAACAAGAATATAGAGAGCCAGGGAAAAGGAAAGGGGACAAAGTAGGTCGGGCATAGGGGTCAAGAAGATAGGTGAATCTCATACTTAGTGATCTTGGTGAGGTCAAATGTCATAACAGCAACTGGCTTTTGTCCTGGGCCATTGATGAGATGTCTAGCAGGAGGATCCTGAGCACTCTATGAGAAAGAAAATAAATAAACTCACTGATGGACATGTCAGAGACAGAGGGAAAGGCAATGCTACATAGCTAGAAGAGGAGAGAATGGGAGACGACTGAGCCAAAATGTAGCTCATTTAGACACATATGGACAGAGAACCCCATCTCCCTTCTGCACCTGGGTGGGGAGAACAAATCCTAGGGCTTGTTCCTGGTGAGTGCAAGGCGGCAGCAGCAGCAGCAGCAGATGCAAGATGGCCAGTGGGCTTCGGTTCTCCATAGTCAGCTGCAGTCCACACTGCAGCTTAGACTACTGTGAGAAGAATGTGTGGGGGTAGACAGCCTTGCGCATGGGCGTTGGAAGGTTAAAGGTTGCTGGGGAGGGGGGAAGGGGGGCGGGAGACAGGGACACTGACCCTGCGGCCCCTCTGAAGGCAAATGGAGTGAGGGACAGAGGTCTTCCGTTACCTTCCCTCATGCATGAGAAATTGCTAAGCTAGAAGAGGCTCTCCTACCTTCTCTCTTCTGCTAGAGCCTAAACCTGCTCCTTTAAGCATTCTGCCTACACGGGAAGTCTGCCTTGGCAGAGCTGAGGTCTGGAAACAGTCCTGTCCTGCTCAAGAAGCATCCTCCATCAGGGCTAGAAAGGCAACATGGAATCCAAAGAGCTTACAGTGACCTTAAGCAGATCACTGCACCTTTGTGCTTCGGTGTCCTTGTCTAGCAAATGAAGTAAAGAATCTGTTCTTTATGAGACTGCTGTGAATGAGTGTTCACCGCGATGAAGTAGGCACAATGCCCAGTATGGTATCCAATCTGAACTTCTCTCTGAGATTTCCCAGGGCTTCTGACACTTACCTCACAAAAGGGCATTGTCTCTATGTATGATTTAGTGGATACTTTGAGAAGAGATCTGCCTATAATCCCAGCATTCCAGAAGTCAAAGCAGGAAGATCAAGGCCAGCCTGGGCTACATTGTAAGACAGATGCTCCCCCAAAACATACTGTCTCAAAGGGAAAAAGAAAAGGATCTGTTCCTATTCACAATTATGTGCCTTATCCATTTATTGCAGGGCCTAACACTCAACCAGCAGAAATGTACCCTCTTCCTGGACCATTTTATTTTGTTTTATTTATTTATTTATTTTTTGGGTGCTAGTCCTGGGGCTTGAACTCAGCGCCTGCGCACTGTCCCTGAGCTTCTTTGCTCAAGGCTAGCACTCTACCACTTGAGCCACAGTGCCATTTCTGGCTTTTTCTGTTTATGTGGTACTGAGGAATTGAATCCAGGGCTTCATACATGCTAGGCAAGCACTCTACCACTAAGCCACATTTCCAGCTCTGTGACCTGTTTTAAAATACAAATGTCAGGGCTGGGAAGGTGGCTCAGTGGTAGAGCGCTTGCCTTGCATGCATGAGGCCCTGGGTTCTATTCCTCAGCACCACATAAGCAGGAAAAAAAAAAAAAGCCGGAAGTGGTGCTATGGCTCAAGTAGTAGAGCACTCGCCTTGAGCTGAAGAGCTGAGGGACAGTGCCCAGGCCTAGAGTTCAAGCCCCACGACCAGACCCAAAACAAAATACAAATGTCAGCTGGATGCCTGTAATCCTAACTACTCAGGAGGCTGAGATCTGAGGATTGTGGTTCAAAGCCAGCCCGGGCAGGAAAGTCCATGAGACTCTCATTTCCAATTAACCACTAGAAAATCAAAGTGGCAACTCTAATGGTAGAGCACTTACCTTGAACAGAAGAGCTGAGGGACGGCACCCAGGCTCAGAGATCAAGCCCTGTGACCAACAACAACAACAAAAAGTCCCCAAAAGTAGAAACATGTTTGTTTTTTGTCGGTCGTGGGGCTTGAACTCTGGAGTCTGGACGCTGTCCCTGAGCTCTTCAGCTCAAGGCTAGCGCTCTACCTCTCCAGCCACAGTACCACTCCCGGTTTTCTGGTGGTTTATTAAAGAGTCTCACAGACTTTCCTGCCCAGGCTGGCTTTTAGCCACGATCCTCAGGTCTCCCCCTCCTGAGTATGTAGGATTACAGGCCTGAGCCACCAATGCCTGGCTAATAGAAACATGTTGAACCACTGAACAGCAGTAATCGTAGGACTGGGAGCTTAGCTCAGTCATAAAATGTGCACCTGAGCTGGCACCAGTGGCTCATGCTGTAATCCTAGCTACTTAGGAAGCTGAGATCAGAGGATAGAGGTTCAAAGCCAGCCCCTGGCAGGAAAGTCTGTGAAACCCTAATCTACAATTAACCTCTCTCTCTGTCTCTGTCTCTCTCTCTCTCTCCACAATTGGAGGTGTGTCTCAAGTGACAGACTCTAGGCCTAAGTTCAACAATGTTGTAGGAAATATAAGGTCCTGAGGCTCATCCAGGTTTTGGGCTGCCTTGAATGGGTGCACGAGGGAGAAAAAACTCTAAAGCAGAGTCTACTTCAATTAAAGAAGCAGGAGGTGCCCGGCGTCGGCGGCTCACGCCTGTAATCCTAGCTACTCAGGAGGGTGAGATCTGAGGATCCGGGTTCAAAGCCAGCCCATGCAGGAAACTCTGTGAGACTCATATCTCCAATAAACCACCAGAACACCGGAAGTGGCGCTGTGGCTCAAGTGGTAGAGCGCTCGCCTTGAGCTGAAGAGCTGAGGGACAGCGCCCAGGCCCACAGTTCAAGGCCCACGACCGACCAAAAAAAAGGAGGAGGAGAAGGAGAAGAAGTGGAAGCTGGAGGTGACTTTTGAGCCTGGGGTAAGAGCAAGCAGATGGAGGCTGGAACAAAAAGCTTTGACCCCTGCGCTGGGCCCAATCACGAGACCAAGCTGTCGGAGGCGGGGCCAAGGCGGGGAAATGTTCCCGTTCTGCAAGCTGATTGGCTGGGTAGCGTGCGCTCGCAGAGGGTAAGGGCCTCCCGGCTGAACCCCGCTTCCAGCTGGGGCTGGCGGGCTCGAGCCTTGTAGCCCCTCGACTGCCCTTTTCTCCCAACTCTTTAGGAGCCGAATTTGTCGGCCCTTTGCTCCGCCCTGCAGGACGGAAGTGGGGGTTGTCTTCTTCGGTCCTGACATTGGGAATCGAGATGGCTTCCGTTCGGATCCGAGAGGCCCAGGAGGGAGACTGTGGAGATATACTAAGGATGATTCGGGTGATGGCTGTCCCCACCCACCCCCAGAAACCTAGGGTTCCAGAAGGGTCAGGGCAGCGCTGCGGGGACCAGGGAGTGGGAGGTGCTGGGGACGTGCCCTAGGCCCCTGCTCCTGGAGCGAGGGAAGGGGGCTCCTGCCCTAATCTTGCTTCTGTCCCCACGCTTTAGGAACTGGCCGAATACGAGAAACTCTCGGATCAGGTGAAGATCAGTGAAGAAGGTGGGGCTCAGAACCTGATGAAGGCTGGGGGCAAAGTGAGGGACGGTTCCCTGGGCGGTGGGCATACACACAGGTCCTCTTTTCCTCTGAGTCTTTGTTACACCTTCCATCTGCAGCCCTGAGAGCAGATGGCTTTGGAGAGAATCCTTTCTATCACTGTCTGGTAGCAGAGATGGTAGCACCTGGGGAGCCACAGGGTAAGAGCACCTCTTCAGGCAGCCACTGGACGTTGCTGTACCCTCATTCCCAGAGGCCTCACTTCTATCTTTGCTTCTTTTTCAGGGCCCTGTGTGGTGGGTTATGGGCTTTACTACTTCATCTACAGCACATGGACAGGAAGAAACGTTTACTTGGAAGATGTTTATGTGATGCCAGAATATCGGGGTACAAGGCAGGGAGAAGAGGCTAGGGTGGACATAGTAACTCACAAACCCACCACCAGACCCTTACCCCCTTATACCAGTCTATGGCCTCTTATAATTCCCTTCAAATAAAACAGTATTTCTTTTTGCCTTTCTCCCCACAACAGGTCAAGGGATTGGTACCAAAATAATAAAAAAGGTGGCTGAGGTAAGGAATAGGTGGGAACTACAAAGTAGGCTCTGTAAAAATAAGAATATATGGAGAGACCCCTAGAGGTGAATGAAGGGGTAAGAAAACCAGCAGCAGTGGCTCATGCCTATAATCCTAGCTAGCTATTAAAGAGGCTGTGATCTGGGACTGGGAAGATGGCTCAGTGGTAGAGTGCTTGCCTTGCATGCATGACGCCCTGGGTTCAACTCCTCAGCACCACATAAGCAGAAAAAGCCAGAAGTGGCGTTGTGGCTCAAGTGGTAGAGTGCTAGCCTTGAGCTGAAGAGCTAAGGGACAGCGTCCAGGCCCAGAGTTCTGGCTCCACGACTGGCAAAACAACAACAACAACAACAAAATAAAGAGGCTGTGATCTGAGGACTGTGGTTTGAAGCCAGTTCTGTTATCTGATTAACTAACCAGCAAAGAGCTAATAGAGCTGTGGCTCAAGTGGTAGAATGGCAGCCTTGAGTGAAAATGGTAAGAGATAGCTTCCAGGCCTCCCAGTACTGGCACACACACACACACACAAGCACGCACGTGTGTGCACGAAAGGAAAAAACTTTTTTCATCCCAGGACAGTGAATGGTTTCTTCTCCTTCAGGTGGCTTTGGATAAGGGTTGCTCCCAGTTCCGCCTGGCAGTTCTGGACTGGAATAAGAGGGCCATGGACTTGTACAAAGCCCTAGGAGGTCAAGATCTGACGGAAGCCGAGGGCTGGCATTCCTTTCGATTTGAAAGAGAGGTGATGAAGGAGTTGGCAGGAAGGTGACACCATCACTTAGAATCTCCTTGCCGGAGCTTCTCTATTCCTATCTGCTCAAGCACTTCTGAGACACATCTGCACAGATCCTGACCCTGAAGAAGAAGAGTTGCTGTGGCAGATTCTTAGAATACAAAAAGAGCAGAATTGAGGGAGAAGCCTGTTTGGGGTGAAAATAAAAGTGGGAAAAAAAAAAAGCTGTATCCTGGTGTATTGGGCAGAGGAATTGATAATGCTCAGCCATGTCAAGATCCTTGGGTTTTAAGTCAGAGGCTGTTACTCTGATGGAGGTTGGGACAGCCAAAAAGACAGGTGTAATAGGCTAATGGTGACCCAGAATCAGAATCTTGGTTGGTCCTGCCCTGTGAAATACAGAGAAAGGAAGAGTTGGTGGCAGGCAGTATTGGTACATCAAGCGTGTTTATTACATTTAGGATCTTCAAATGTCTGGGCTGAGTTGTACAGAATCAAACACTGAAGTAGGCCTGCAAACTCAATAGAGACAACAGGCTGCCCCCTGGTGTCTGCACTTCAGGGGTCACTGGAAGGATCACTTGCTGATTTTAACAAGTCAGCTCAACTAACTGGGCATGGTAGTAGCATGGTTTCTAGTTTTAAGGAGGCTGAGGTAGGAGACTTTTTTTTTCTTTCTTTCTTTTTTTTTTTTTTTTGGTCAGTTGTGGGGCTTGAACTTGGCCTGGACGCTGTCCCTCAGCTCTTCAGCTCAAGGCTAACACTCAACCACTTGAACCACAGAGTGCCACTTCAAGTTTTCTAGTGGTTAATTGGAGATGAGAGTCTGACAGACTTTCCTGCCCCGGCTGGGTTCAAACTACGATCCTCAGATCTCAGCCTCCTGAGTAGCTTGGATTACAGGCATGAGCCACTGATGCTTGTCAGGAGACTCTCTTAAGCATAGAAGTTCAGGGCCACCCTACGTAACATAGTGAGACCCTATATCAAAATTTAAATAATAGGGCTGGGAATGTGGCTTAGTGGTGGAGTGCTTGCCTAGCATGTCTGAAGCCCTGGGTTTGATTCCTCAGTATCGTATAAACAGAAAAGGCCAGAAGCGGCACTGTGGCTCAAGTGGTAGAGTGCTAGCCTTTAGCAAAAGAAGCTCAGGGACAGTGCTTAGGCCCTGAGTTCAAGCCCCAGGACTGGCAAAATAATAATAATAATAATTTTAAAAAGCAGCGATTATGAGCTGGGAAGGTGGCTCAGTGGTAGAGCGCTTGCCTTGCATGCCTGAGGCCCTGGGTTCGATTCCTCAGCACCACATAAGCAAAAAGAAAAAAGCTAGAAGTGGCACTGTGGCTCAAGTGGTAGAGCGCTAGCCTTGAGCTGAAGAGCTGAGGGACAACGCCCAGGCCCAGAGTTCAGGCCCCACAACCGGACCCCAAAAAACAAAAAACAAAACAAAACAAAAAAGCAGCGATTATTGGTGGCTTTTACCTGCAGTCCTAGCTACTTAGGAACCTGAGACCTGAGGATTGAAGTTCAAAGCTAGCCTGGAAAGGAAAGTCTGAGATTCTTATCTCCAATTAACCACACAATAGTTAGAAGTGGAGCTGTGACTCACGTAGTACAGTATTAGCTTTGGGTGGAAAAAGCTAAGCAACAGCCCTGAGTTCAAGCTCCAGTATCAGCACAAACACACACACACACACACACACACACACACACACAGAGTTTAGCTAGTTAGTGGGTTTTCCCTTTCAGGTTTGTAGTTGTGGCAGGGGAGGAGAGCTTACATAACTCTCAAGTGCTGGGCACACACCATCATATCTGACTGCTTTACACTTCTTTTTTCTTTTTTTTTTTGCTGGTCCTGGAGCTTTAACTGAGTGCCTGGACTCTGTCCCTGAGCTTCTTTGTGCTCAGGGCTAGCACTCTACTACTTGAGCCACGGCACTACTTCCAACTTTCTCTGAGTAGTTTATGGAGATAAAAGTCTCACAGACATTCCTGCCCAGGCTGGCTTTGAACCGTGAGCCTCGGATGTCAGCCTCCTGAGTAGCTAGGATCACAGGCGTGAGCCACTGACGCCTGGCAAACACGTACATTTTTTTTTTTTAACCTTCTGCTGGTCCTGGTGCTTGAACTCAGTCTGGGTGCTGTCCCTGAGCCTCTTCATGCTCAAGGATAGCGTTCTACCACTTCAGGCACAGTTCCACATTCGTTTTTACTTTTTAAAAGTCAGAGTTGAGGGCTGGGAAGATGACTCAGTAGTAGAGTGCTCTCTGCATGCATGAGGCCCTGAGGTCAATTCCTCAGCACCATATAAGCAGAAAATGCCGGAAGTGGCACTGTGGCTTAAGTGGTAGAGTGCTAGCCTTGAGCTGAAGAGTTGAGGGACAGCACCCAGGCCTTGAGCTGAAGAGCTGAGGGACAGCGCCCAGGCCCAGAATTCAGGCCCTATGACCGACAAAAATAAAAATAAAAAATGGAAGTCAGAGTTGGGTTGGGGTCTAGCTCAGCAGCAGAGCATTTACCTAGCATGCACCAGGCTCCAAGGCTGATTTCCTCAGAATCACACACACACACACACACACACACACACACACACACACGCACGCGCACACACACACACACACACACACGCACACACACACACACACACATACCACACACACACACAAATTACAAAGTCTTTATTTTCATTCTGAAAAGAATGAAAAGAATACAGTAGGCTGGGCATGGAGGTACAGGAGATAAAGGTATGACTATCAAAGTCCAAGTGGGGCCGGGCGCTGGTGGCTCAAGCCTGTAATCCTAGCTACTCAGGAGGCTGAGATCTGAGGATAGCGGTTCAAAGCCAGCCCGGGCAGGAGAGACCCTGAGACTCCTATCTCCAATAAACCACCAGAAAACCGGAAGTGGCGCTGTGGCTCAAGAGGTAGAGCGCTCGCCTTGAGCTGAAGAGCTGAGGGACAGCGCCCAGGCCCAGAGTTCAAGCCCCACAACCGACAAAAAAAAAAAAAAAGTCCAAGAGGGGCCCAGGCAAAAGCTCAAGATTTGGCCAAGCTGAAGGCTCTTGCCTATAATTCCAGCTATTTAAGATTCTAAGATCAGAGTATCTCAGCTCAAGGCCAGTCCAGATCTTTAGAAGTATAAATAGAAGGATCGTGGTCCAGCGTAGCCCAGGACAGTTGTTGAAAAATTACTAAACCAAAAAAGCACTAGGGATTTAGTTCAAGTGTTAGAGCACCCGCCTAGCAAGTCTGAGGTCTTGGTTCAAACCCCATGTTCAAAGAACATGAAGACAAGGAAGAAAACAGGTTTATTCCTCACTGTTGCTCTGCCACTATTATGCAAATATTGCAAGCTTATTGTACAAAATTGGAAATGGATATATAGAGGGGCTTGGGGCTGGGAATGTGGTTTAGTGGTAGAGTGCTTGCCTAGCATTCATGAATCCCTGGGCTCGGTTCCCCAGTACCGCATAGAAAAAGCCAGAAGTGGCACTGTGGCTTAAGTGGTAGGGCACTTGACTTGAGCACAGAGAGGCTCAGGGACAGCACCCAGGCCCAGAGTTCAAGCCCCAGGAGAAACAAAACACATGTTTTTATATGTGTATATACAAACACATACAGAATATAGTTAAGTGAATGAGAATGGGTTCATGGGATCACTGATTTTTCTTATATACCCATATGTCAAGAACATCTTCCTATGTTGTTAAATTAACATGTTATCACTTCTTTCCTTTTTTTTTTCTCAGTGCCAGTCCTGGGGCTTGAACTCAGGGTATAGATGGTGTCACTGAGTTTTTGTGCTCAAATCTAGCACCCTACCAACTTGAGCCATGGCTCTACTTCCTGCTTTTTTGGTAATTAATTGGAGATAAGTATCTCGTGGACTTCTGCCCAAGATGGCTTTGAACTGAAATCCTCAGATGTCAGTCTTCTGACTAGCTAGGATTACAGGTATGAGCCACCAGTGCCTAGCTTCCTTTTTTTTTTTTTTTTAATCAGTTGTGGTGCTTGAACTCAGGGCCTATGTGCTGTCTTTGAGCCTTCTGGTTCACAAGGCTAGCACTCTACCAATGGAGCCACAGCTCCACTTCTGGTTTTTTGAGTGGTTAATTGGAGATAAGAGTCTCAAGAGGACATTTCTGCCCCAACTGGCTTCAAACCACAACCTTCAAATCTCTCCGCCTCTAGAGTAGCTAGGATTATAGGTGTGAGCCACTGGTGCCCAGCTTTTTTCTTTTAATTTTTTATAGTACTAGGCCCTGTACCCCGGCCCTTTTGGCTGGCACTCTACACTTCAGCCACACTTCCAGCCTGTCTTTGCCAATTACTTTAGAAGTAGAGTTGAAGATTTTTCTACCAGAGGGACATCATCTATTTCGATTGCTTTTACACGATCAGCCTGGAGAGGGCATCTGATCCCACAGGTTGATGGTTGAGTCTGTCCAATTAAGTTCCTATTTGTTTTACCTTTGTCCAACTGTGACCAGCCCCACCCCAAAGCTACCTGGACTACCATCAGCTGACTTGTTAGCATACAGAAAGACGTGTTGAGAATTCCAAGGATTTTAGGAGTTAAATCCTATGAAACATGGAGGGAAACCATGTATTATATATATCTATCCATATGTATACATACTTTTTAATTAATTAATTTTTTTACATCACACTGCCCCTTGTAACTGAATTTTCCTGCAGTTAGGCTGCTAAGAAAAGGATCTTTTCTTTTTTTCCTTTTAGCCTAGGATAATAAAGCTGGTAAATCCTGTTCCTAAGGGAAACTCAATTTGGGTGTTAATTTTTTTTTTTTCCGGTTTTGGGGCTTGAACTCTGGGCCTGGGTGCTGTCCCTGAGCTCTTCAGCTCAAGGCTAGCACCTCTAACATTTGAGCCACAGCGCCAGTACCAGTTTTCTGGTGGTTAATTGGAGATAAGAGTCTCACAGACTTTTCTGCCCAGGCTGGCTTTGAACACCACGATCCTCAGATCTTAGCCTCCTGAGTAGCTAGGATTACAGGCATGCCACCAGCACCTGGATTGGGAGTTATCTTTTACCTTTTATTTTTTGGGTCCGGTTGTGGGGCCTGAACTCTGGGCCTGGGCGCTGTCCCTCAGCTCTTCAGCTCAAGGCTAGCGCTCTACCACTTGAGCCACAGCACCACTTCCGGCTTTTTTTTTCTTTTTGCACATAAGCAAATCGAACCC